AAATCAGTATAAGAAACTGTATAACACCTTCGTTCAAAGTTTGATGACAACGATATACTTTCGACCAGTGCATCAGAAATATCACCATGCACAACAGATCAGTGTTGTAAATAAGTTTATTAAAAGAAAGGTGATATGTATTTTGATTAAGACCTATTCCATTCGCCGTTTCCTTATGAATAAGTGCAGAAAAAAATTCATATTATATAACTATTCATATAAATCGATATTCAATCTAATCGAATAAACTTTTGGAATAACTACATCGTGAACACTTGACCCAAATATGTTGTACTTTAAAAAAAATCACTGGAATCAGACACTTTACGGTGAGGTCACTAATCGTATTTATCAAAATCGAGTCACGTACAAGATACAAATGATTTCATAGGGAAGAAAGTCTTTATTAGTTTAAAAAGTGTAAATTTTCTGTTATTAGGAAGATGTATGGAGTCATGGTGTACAATACCAAGTCGAATTCTAGTTATGATTTCATTTTGTTGGAACCGAATCTGAAGTTCAAAAAACTTGTCCTATCTCATCTTTGCTGATTGAAGAATGCAATTCTCACAGACGACATAAAAATGTTCGTTTACCTTAACATTACAATAGCTTACGATGATTCGTAATGATTTACTATTGTTGTGAATAAATAGCTTTTTTTTCTCTCTCATTTTACTTACTCCTCTTTTTCCAAAAACATTTGAATAGAAGAATAATTTAAAACGACATCTTGAAACACTTAGGACGAAAACTTCGATTTCAGATGACGCTGTATCAATACTGTTTCTCAATTTTACAATAAACACGATAAAAATGTTCAATATGCTCACTTTGATATAGTATGTATTATATGTTATTATAATTTATTCGTCATTGGTGTTGTAGCTTTTACTGGACATGCAACGATAAAACACGGAGCGAAATTTGGTTGATTCATAAGAACAAGGATAAGATTCATTGACAATTGTATATATATAGCTTTCATGCATAGAGGCTACGAAAATACATATTTGAAATACATAGAACAACTGACTATTTGCTAGGTACAATCAAACCATGCTTAGTGATGGTAAATGATGGTGTTGTGCACGAATGCTTTATTCAAATTGAGATGTTCATTATTTTTTCATTAAATCCACACTCATCAACGTCGCGTCCAATTTAAATAATCAAGAATAAGGTATGTTAAATTCACTGAACTCCTATATGCATTTCTGGTATTTGACAATATGTTATTTGCTGAAATTCGTCAATCAATCATACATAACATTTACGATTTTAATTCTAATTTTTGATTGTTTTTTTTTTCTAACTCCTCGTGTCGACAAATGGTAACTTTTGCACTAGTCCTTCTTTGACACACTTCCATATACGACACCAATTCATTCTTATTCGCGTAAGCGAAAATGCCAATAAACTATATTAAAATCAATTAAAACCGGATGTTTTTGTCGTTTTTTTTTCACATGGATCAATTTCTCTTTCCTCGCTGGACAATTCTATGACTCTTTAGTTACTCACGAAAACAGATCTGCAAAGATCTATGCTGAGTTGCACATGCTCGAAATATTTTGTCTTTCAAAATACGGCACGTTTGACATCTAGCTGTATATTTCTAAGCTATGAGTACAATAGTGTTTACTTTTGTAACACTAGATTGTTATACATTCAATGAATTTTTCTCTGATAAAGTCTGCGATTCTAAGTTTAAAAGAATATGTTTTTGAATGTGAGGGCCTCAAAATATCAGATGAATTTATCTACAACTGTGATAGGTGCAAAATTAATAACATTACGTAGAGGAACGGAATTAAAATGTGTCAATAATATAATCTAGAGAAAAAAATTCGAATCGGGAGTTTAAAGCCATTTATGAACTGGAATATGTGAATGATTAATATGATTCAATATTTATACGAGTTTCACGAAATCTTATTCCTAACTTCGTCATCTTAGTACGTATTTAAAGCGTTCTCATTTTTACAGTTGGAAATTTTCAAAAATTTGGAAACTCTAAAAGATATTCATTACTACCCATGTATAAACATGAAACATAAAATAGACGCATCTAAAAACAATGGTTTCAACCGTATCGAGATGCGATTCGAACGAAAATCTCGTCTAGACGCAGTGTATATTGCATCTGAGCTGTGTCTGAACACATGAGTCGCTTGAGTTTCGGACATGTTTACAATCAGATAATGTTCACGTAGGTATTACTGTCTATAATATACATGAAAACGAAGTTGGCGAAACTCTTTTAAGTGCATAGTATTTCAATGACAATTAAGGTATCGATGATGCAACGAACAGTACGGTAAGATAAGTTGATCAGTTTGTGAAATGAAGGTTTACACATAGATAGTCTCTATGCGTTCATTTCTTTTTTGTTCGATTTAGAAAATCCTACAAAGGTTTTATCATGATATCTTAGAACACTTTCATACAATCATCGTATAAGCCTGCAGCATACCACAAGTTTTTTCAATGAGAAAACATTGAAAACTTGTTAAGAGTCTGATTTTAAAACAATTTAAACTTGCTTATGATCCCTTGAAGATCTTGCTCCAGTTCTCGAAATCTCAATAAATTCCTGTTTTTAATCGTGCCAATGTCTTGAACTTACGTAGTTGCTCGTTTTTTTTAGAACTTAGGAGTTTCTTGAATATCCTGTAAAGATGTTAAACTTTAGTGGCTACTTGCTTTGTTTTAGAATTCTGTTGTTTTCTTAGGAAAAAAGAGCAAATCTATACAGGTGTTATGTCTCTTATCTTCAAATGCCGACAGAACGGAGAAAAAGAATCCCCCTTCGCATGGAATCGAACCATGCACCTCCTGCTTACCGGGCAGACGTATTAACCACTGTACTAGAAAGGGTATCTCTTCTCCGTCTTACGATTGTATGGGAACAATACGATCGTAACAACAGGATACTTATGGAATCTAACCAAGATGTCCTATGAAAAAAACAAAGTCTTTCGCTAATCAGTACTAATGTAATGAAATCTAAGAGTCTTCGTGATAGTGACCATAACCAAAAATCTTGATCACGCAGATCTCTTTGTATATTAAATCAGTAAGACAACCATTGAGAATCTCTTAGTTAGCTTTTATTTCTTTTAGTCTGTATAATTTTTCTTCATATGTTAATTACCATAAGATAAGACAAAATGAAACAACTATTTTCTATCATGTTTAACATCCACATAAAATTGAGCATAAATGTAATATTTCATTAAATCTATTTAGTTCCATTGAATAGAGACAAGTAGATATGATTATCAAGTTTGTTTATTGAACAAAATACGTTATAATATATATGTTTCTAGGTATCAGACCGACAATAAAGTCCAATTTCTATAATAATGTGCGATGCTCACAATGTTTATGATACAATTGAACTCATATCAGCTATCGGAGTCCAAAAATCAAAGCAGAGAATCGATCATACTATTATTAAATCATTTTTAGCTGGTGTCTTTCTATCATTTAGCGGTCTGTTTCTCATCATTGTTGGTGGTGGAAGTGCTCCACTGGGTCAAAATCTTGGTCCTGGTATACAAAAGATGATACAAGCTGCTGTATTTCCTGTTGGTCTGATTTTGATTATTATGACCAGTGCTGAATTATGTACTGGTAATACTATGATATTAATGATATCAACATTAGATAGAAAAACTACATTGCTTAATCTTATTATTTCATGGATAGTCTCATACAGTGGGAACTTTGCTGGCTGTTTATTTTGTTCGGGTATACTTGTTTACTATGCAGGTATTCTATCTCATGATCCTTATCGTTCATTTACTGTGCAACTTGCCGAAGTCAAAGGTGACATTGAATGGCATCAAATATTTTAAGAGGTATTGCTGGTGATTGGCTGATTTGTCTTGGAATATGGCTGACTATAAGTGCACGTGAATTACATTCAAAAATAATCGGTATTTACTTACCTATCTGGCTTCTTGTTTCTGTTGGATATGAACATTCCATTGCCAATATGTTTACAGTTCAAATGGGTATGATGCTTGGTGCTAATTTGTCTGTGGGAAAATATATTTCATGCGTGATGATACCAGTAACACTTGGAAATATTATCGGTGGAACATTCTTTGTTGGTTTTTTATATTGGTACCTTTACATGCCGAAGAAGACTAATACTGAGACTATGGATAAAGATAAATCATCGGTTGACGACGTTAATCACGTAGGGGAAAAGCAGAGGGAATTAAATCAATCTGAACAAAACATTAATATTGTTTTATAATCATAGTATTATTCGAAATACTAAACGAAAACCTGTAGCGCAATCCAATTTTGTACAGCTGTATATTACAAAACTTATGAACTCTAAACTCTTTCAGTTTCTTATATTTGTTCTTTTTTTTTACATACGAATTATAAAGTTTATTTGTAGTCGAATCTTACTTCTTTCTTCTTGGCACATTGTCGAAGATAAAGCCCGTGTCTTCAATGCGCCCAAATGTACTTCTTTGTAAACGTTGATTCATCTCGGATGAAAGTTGAAAAGTAGCTAAGTATTCATTGTAGCTGATTTTTCTTGAACTCACCCTTGCTCTCAAAATATAATCTAAGAATTTGAAAGATAACTGACAATATATAAAACATTAAAAAAAATTCAAAAACACTTTTTTTTTCTATATAAACAAAAATGTAGTGTTAATACATTATTTTAATTTCTTTTGTGCAAATCGATCATACCGACCATCAAGTGCAAGTAACTCTTCCCTTATGAAGAATACATATCATATCTGTATTTTGAATTGTTGATAAACGATGTGCAATTGTTATTGATGTTCGATTTTGTTGAGCACGATCTAATGCTTCTTGAACTATCTTTTTACTATCCAATGCACTTGTTGCTAAAAAAGTATACAGACAATATAATTAATAGAGCATTAACTTGTTTGTTTTGCCTTCATCGAGTAACAAAATCTTTGGATTTCGAAGTAATGCTCGAGCAATGGCTAGAATTGACAAATTTACTTTTACTCTGACAAAAAGTTTGTCAGCAAATCATCTTACCAATGCGTTATTTTCGTCCACCTTCTGCACCACAATTGGTTTCATAACCCTTTATTTTACAAAGAGAGAGAAGCTGTGTTATATTTTTGGCGTAAGAAATAATCGTTGACTTACATATGGAAGACTTTGAATGAAATCATGAATATTTGCTTTGTTTTTGCTGCTTGAATAATTTCATCGAGTAGAATATCTTGTCGAATATTATCACCATGTGCAATATTCTCACGGTTTGTCATATTAAAGAGAACAACACAAAAACATCAATATTTACAAGATAACCAAAATTTAGATCATAGCAACGTTCGATTAATTGAATTATTGCGGATTTTCCACAGCCAAATGTACCGAAACGAACAAACATGTTTGAATCATCTTTCCATCGTGACGAAAGCTATTGCAAGGCATGAAGAAATTCTACAATATAATCAACGACATAGAAGAGCGAAATAAATAAAAAAATATATACAAGGCTTAATATTGAGTTTGAAATTCTAAAGAATAATTGACTCAAGTCGATTTATATAGATGAAATAAGCATCATCAAATTCGAGTTGTCCAGCGAAGTTAGGCTAAACAAAGAAGAGTAGAAAGATCATAGAAATTTATTGAGAATTTTGGCAATTTTTACTTACGATTTGTTCATCATCGTTCGATTCATTATTGATATGTGGTTTACGGTCGAGTAAGTCGAAAATCTTTTCAGTAGCTTCGATTCCTTTTGCATAGTCTGGAGATCTACAAGGAAAATTTTTTGTTATTTAATATAATTTATTGCAAAAAATTACAATGTTAGTGTACGAACGGCCGATCGAGCAGTAACTGCGACACAATTGAACATCCTAGAAAATTGATGGAAATTTATTGTTTATTTCAAATAGATTTAAAGTATATACTAACCTCTGTTGCAAAAGTCTTTAGACAAAATGTCTATTCATTTTTCAGCCGCCTAAACGTCATTAATGAGAATCAAAAGTAGTTAGCTAAAATCAGTTTTTTGTGCTCTTTTCGAATATCTGATCAGAATATTTCACTGATTCAATATTGATTAGGGACAAGCCAAATTTTTGACAGAGTCGAAAATGATGTTCGTACAGAATTTTATTGGATATATTTTTGTATTTTGATCGATATCTACTCTACGCAAAACATGAAAGATATTTTCATCAGCCAATTTTATAGAGCGAAGTTTGCTCTACAAACTATGCTATTTAGTTTAGTTTTCTATCTCGAAACAAATACATGCAATCTGTTGTATTATAAATAGAAGATCTTGGAAAACTGACTTTTTGGCAGGATTCTATTTTACGTACCAATCAGTTCTCAGAAAAACGTCTACAACCCTTTATTCATTTGAGCTGAAGCCTATTGTCATATATGGTTTTATAGAGAATTGAATGCTCTACAAATTGCAAATTTCGAACTGCTTCAAAATCCAACTTCCATAAGTAATGAATAGCGGGAAAACATGTGTTTTCTTCGTCGAGATGTCATTCTTCGCCTCTTTCAAGTATTAACTTACAACTAACCAATCTTAAGCTAAAGAGATATCCTGAACACATATCAGAAAAGAGCAGATAAGACTGACTCTAAGGATCTACTTTTGGTTCGTATCAAATACTTTTAGCGGCTGAAAGATGAACAAACATTTGCAGAATGACTTTTTGTACAGACATCATTTTTCACTCTGTCAAACATTTGGCCCATTTCTAATCAATGTTAAGTCAGAGAAATATTCTGATCAGATATTCGGAAAGAGCACAAAAATCTGATTTTAGCTAACTGCTTTTGATTCTCACCAATGACGTTTAGGCAACTGAAAAATGAATAAACATTTTGTCTAAAGACTTTTGCAACAGAGGTTATTTACATGAGATAATTTTCAAATGTAATTACAACATGATTGACTAAAGTAGCACCAAAAACAATAGAAGCTGCTTGACCAAAGAGAAGAATTGAACATGTTACTGAAGATAGAATGCTTAAAATATGAATATGTTTGAGTGATATTCTGTAATAAAGACGAATGAATTTGTTATTCGAAAGATATAAAAATAAGTATTCTTACTGATAGATATTGTCAAGTGTTTGACAGTATTCATCATAAAAAAAATATGCTTCTTTAGTTAATTGAGTTACTGTTCGAAAGCTTTGAATGGTTTCTACAGCTACCTGTAATGGAATATTAGAAAATTATTGTTTACTGATTGAAGAGAAAGATCGAACATATAGAAGGCGAAAAGTGCTCAGGAATAGGGATGTTATCGATTTCTATGTTATCAACTAATCAGAAACAAAACCTTTATAGTTAAACAGGATATATTAATTAATATGCTTTCTCATTACAAACAAAATTACAGTCTATGATGTTATGAAAAACTGAGTATAATACATGAAAAGATATATGCAAACATCTTTTTCTATACACTTTATTTGTATTTATGATATTAGATTCTTATCAGCTTTTTGGAAACAATGAAGATTAGATCTGCATAGAAAAATTTTAAAGAAAACTAAATGAAGTATTTACAAACCTTTCCAGCGTCTTCCATATATCTCTTCTCTTTACTTGCAAAGCTATCTGCTAAATGAATAAGTGTAGTACCTCCCACAATCATTAATGGAAGGAAAGATATACTAGTATCCACTAGTATCTTGTACAACTGATGCATCACTTCCTAAATGTATACATAATGCACCTGTATTGTTTTTTGGTTGAGCGAAATCGTTTGATAAGGTCTCCACCAGAACAAGCAAACATATAAGTCTAAGAAAACAAACATACAAAACTAGCATACAAATGATCATAAGACATACTTGAACTGATTGAACGATGAAACTGACAATTACAAAAATGGTAAAAAATGAAATATATAACATTACTTGTCGTTTTTTATCATCTTTATTACATTCTTCAAAAACCTATCAAAAGATAGATGTTTCAAAAATAAAATTATTATTCAAATGTATATACTCTTTTACCGCTATGAATTTAGTCTGCAAAATGTCAAATAGAGGCTCAAGTGATCCATTTAAGAAAGATTCTCCACATCCGATTGCGACCAATATCCATTCTAATTTTTTCATTTGTAATATACCCAATATAGTGTTGTCTTTTCTCCTACTCATATCATCCTCAACCCTTATGTTCAAATATTCTTTTGTTTATTTTTATTACCTGTATCTTCTGCATATTTCTGTCATAGTCTTCATCTAGATCTTTATTGTTTTCTGCACACAAATTACTAATTGCATGTTCGTCAAAGTACATTTTAGTCAATTTTGATTGTTCGAGTTCCAGTTCTTCTTCTTCTTCTCTTTCAGCTTGACATAGATTTTGTTGTTCAATAAGACTAAAGTATGCGCCTTTAGCTCTCATCAATGAATCATAATCACCCTCTTCAACCATTTTTTCTTTTTGTATCACAATGATTTTATCAGCATCATGAATTGTCGATAGACGATGTGTAATTATTAATGTTGTTCGGACTGGTAGTAGGAAAAATAAATCAAATAAAATCATGATTCAACGTCTGTATTTTATATAATCATACCTTGAGCACTACGATTTAAC